GTCCAGACGCTATATGTAGTAATAATACATGTGTATGCAACGAAAATGTTTCTCATTACGTGGAGAGTGAACTGTTTTGCTGGGGAAACACGGGAATCAACGAAACTTGTAATCAAGACCGAGATTGTTACGTGAAAGATTTCAAAGGCAATTTAACATGTCACGCTACATGCGGCTGTCCCGATGGCACACGCTTAAGCAAGGATGAAATGAGTTGTGTAGGATCAGCAGGTAAACGGTTATCTTGTTATTTTTCCAAAGTTCATTACGTGGCGTTTGACAAAATCTTTGCACTAAATTTTAGAACTTGGAGAAGCTTGCGAAATAGACAGTGATTGTTATGTCCCGTCTTCCGTTTGTAAGAAACAAGTGTGCACATGTGCCAAGAACTATTATGAATCACATGAGCTTTGTTTGCCAGGTAATACTTTATAAATTATTATAAAAATATTAATTTTTCTTGAATAAAAACAGTTTATATTGACATTTTATATTGACACTTCTGAACAAACAGATTCAGATTTCATGGAATAATACAATACATAATAAATAATTGATATAAACCGTAACTAAAATTTAATCACAAAAAGTTTAAAAGTATATTAAAAGTAGCCAAATAACGTTTTCATGATCAGTAATCGAATTTTAGGTATCAATGCTGATTGCACGGGTAACGAAGGTTGCTCACCGAATAATTCCGTGTGTATTTCGAAGAAATGTTATTGCGAGCCGAATTATGTGGCTGCGTCTATTGATTCATGTATACCAGGTAAGCAATTATATCAATTCGTTTTTATAAAGAAAATATTGCTAAAACTTTCATGTATTATCAATAGTAAGAACTCTTTAATGTTCGAATGTATTTTAATATGTTTCTATTATAGTATCACTGTTCGGCGAGCCGTGTTTACTGGATATTCAATGTTCTGCCACTGCAACGGACGCAATTTGTGCGTCTGAGAACAGAAATGACACCGCGGTCACAACGGAATCGTCGACAGAATCGTCGACAGAATCGTCGATAAAATCGACGACAGAATCGACGACAGCAGAAGACAAAATTTGTACTTGTAGTACAGAGGACTACTACAGATTCGGAAGGTGTTTTAAGAAAAAATGTAAGACAAGAATAATCTGATAATGAGTTAATTTTTTTCTAAAAATTATTTATCAAGATATTTATATTCTCGCAGTTCTCGGCGAAATTTGCACGAATTTGGGTGAATGTTATGAAAGCTACAATGAAAAAAGAATAGTTTGTAGAAACGGGAAATGCGCATGCATATGGGGCTACGTGAAATTGAATGGTACTGTTTGTGTAAAACATTCACAAGAGTCAAAATTTTTTTTGAAAGGTGAGTAGCCTTGACTCGGTTAAGCTATTATATTCAGTTAATAGAAAATTTTTGCCGCATTTTATTTCCGTCCACGTTAAAGCAGTGCCGAGGTGAGGACCTTTCTCGGCCGCGCATAAAACCCTTTTATGTGGCAGAATAATGTGCCCGCAATTACGAGTCGCGCATTCGCACGCCAGTTCGAGGGCTGTATTGTAATTTTTGCGATTAGCATCGATAAGACGTGCCTGCAACGACATGG